CTAGAGGAGTTTAAGAAGGATCTTGCAGTGCACTAGTTGAGGGAAGAAGCAGATTATTGGTGGAGAAATATTGAGAGGAGCTTGCTTGTTGGATATGTGCCTACTTGGGAGGATTTCTTGAGGGAGTTCAATAACAAGTATTTTCCGCATGAGGCTATGGACCAGATAGATCATGAGTTTGTGGAGTTTTGTCAAGGCACAAAGACTGTTAGAGAGTATGATGAGGAGTTCACTCGCCTAAGGAGATTTTGTGTGAGGAATTTCGAAGAGCAAGGCATGATTCGCAGATTCATGAGGGGATTGAATGCTGATAATCGTAATCGTTCCTCCATTCCAGCATGCACTAGCCTGGTTGAGTTAGTCGAGGAGGCTGCTACGATGGAGAGAGGACTTGAAGAAGAAGCCAGGGATCTCAAGAGGGCTCATGCAAAGGTAACAAAGGGAGTTGAATCTCAGAAATGTACATGGGATAACCGTAATGCAGAACCAATTCAGAAGTGTTACCCCAAGTGTACCAGGTGTAATAGGCAGCATGGAGGAGTTTGTTGGATGGATTCAGGCAAGTGTTTTCATCAGTGTGATGAAGTTGGTCATATCAGGGAGAATTGTCAAGAAGGTAATAATAATTGCAGGAAGATTGGACAGCCGGGCCACTATGCACGGGAGTGCACTACGCGTCAAGTAGGAGGAAATCAACGGGACGAAAACGAGGGAAACTAACCACCTCGTTAGAGACAAGCTTTACGACCTCGTGTGTACGTGGTAGAAAACCAAGGGCTTGATGTTGAGAAAGATTAAGTTTGAAATTAAATTTCCAAGGTCATACAAGTTCATGTTGGAGTAGGCGGTTTAATCGTTTTAAGAGAAGATTTATTTAGGATTTTATTATCTTTTATTGGAGTTTGGTTGTTAGCTTATGCTTAAACATTGCTATTCAATTCTTTAATGATCAATCAAATTGTTTTAAAAGTTGCTTTCGGATTAATTGGAGCTTTTCTAATGGCATGAACGGAGAAAATAATCAAACCGGAAAAATTGAATTTGGGGACGAATTCTCGATAAGTGGGGGAGAATTGTAAGACCCAAACAAGCTTAACAAAGGCCCACCTCTACTAAAACCAAAAACCAAAAGAGAAAGTGTATATATGTGTGTATATAGGCTCCGATTGGTGACAAAAAAAAGAACAATATGAACAGGAAAAAAAAGACATGAAAAGAAACAAGAAGGAAAGGAAAATGATCAAAACCAGGAACCAAAATGAACATAAGAATTTAACAAATGATTATGGTAAATGGTAACCAAAAAATTGAACAAATATTTAACATAATAATTATTAAAAATTATGTATTTTATTTAGTTTATAATTTTTTTAAAAAATTAATGTTTTATTTTAATTTCAAACGAAATATAGTATAAATTCAAATATTTTATTTTAAAATAATATAAATTTCACTTGAAAGCATTTATTTATTTATTTTAGTATAAATACTAATTTAAAACAAAGTCATAAGATTTATTTAAATTAAAGTTTTGATAAAAGTTTTTTTATACATAAATATATAATAAAAATATAGGAATTATTTATGTATAAAAATATAAATATTATCAAAAAAGCTATTTTAAAATTATTTAAAAATTAAAAACGAATTTTAAATTTTTGTTCCTTGTTGTTCCTCTACAATTTTGGGGAGGAACAATTTTGTTCTATCATTCTTTTTTTTTTGAGGAACGAAGAGGAAAAATGTAGGACCCACATGTCTGAAAATGGAACAAAAATTCCGTATAAATGGTGAAAAAAATGAGGAACAAAAAGAACATGACATTACTACTCATTCTTTTCCTCAAAATTGGTTACCAATCGGAGCATAGTGTCTTCTTCGTCGTCATTGCCGCTAGCCATCACCATCACCAATCAAAATACTCATTAAATCTTGATCTCAAGTCATCACCACCCACCCTTGTTGAGTTCAAAGCTGTCGTTTATGGGTGTAGTTGTGTTTTCGATCAAGAACAAGTGGAGAGAAAGGAATTGCTCCTCACGAACCGTAACGTTGAGCCGTAGTCATCACTGTTCGTCACTGGCTCATTGGGTAAGGATGCCTAACCTCATGTCGATCCCTTCTCATGTTAGTCTCTGTTAGTTTCTTGAGGATTGGTGGCTTACATCTCAAATTAATTGTGTTTCGAGGGAAAAAGAGGAAGGAGAGATCAGTCAAGTAAAGATGTTGGTGAAACTTTTCCCGCCTGATCTGAAAGAACCAGATCACGATTTTGGTGTCGCTGGATAGATATCGCTGCAAGGAAGTCACATTAACCAACAGATCGTTGTTACGAGGTATATTCCATCCGGAAAACATGTTTAAAGTTATCGAAAAATCACAGTTTCTGAACCCAGAATTAACTAAGTATCAGGTTTCAGATTCAAGTTGGCCTTTTAGAGAGTAGATTCCGGCCATCTCGGAGCAGGGGAGGACAAGCCGACGGTGGGTACGTTTAGAGGGAGTGTCAGGGAAGCCACCGGAGCCGTCGTTGTCACCAGAAAAGGTAAAAGCCTAACCGCCATGACGTTTGCTTTGTGCGCAAGAAACACCTGCAACTAGTTAATCTGAAACCCTAAAATAACAGATCTGAGGTACCTTTTTTGGGGCAGTGTTTCGAGGTTCAAAACTTATCCGATCAAGCTGAAATTTTGGGGAGAGCTGCGTGGTATATCAATCTTCAAATGCAACGGTGGGATTAAGAATTTAACGGTCCATTGTGAAGTTATTAGTGCGTTTGTTTGGATACGTAAGTGAGGTGTTCTTCGTCATCAAAAGGCAAAGCTGAGGGTGTGATCTGCGGAGATGTGATTACAAGTTTCTATTTTTATGCTTCATGATTCACTTGCATAGGATTAGATCTGTTTGCTTAGTAGTTAGTAGTAATGACTTGTTAATTAAGATTGATGATATGATAATTATTTTACATTTATAGGATGATTGTGTTAATGTCACTGAGATGACATGTAATTATATGTGTTATATAAGAAAGTGGAATTACCATCTTTTGAGATGATGAAAAGTAGAACTGTGGAAAAGTAGAAAATGGTCTACATTGAATTGACGGATTCTTTGTAGCTCAATAAAAGACTGATGAGTCTAGTGGAACTAGATAGGTTCAAAGGTCAGGGGAGATGATCGAACCTGGTACTGATGTGTAGATCTCGCTAAGGGCGAGAATGAATTTTATGTTATAGTTTGCATAGTGGTGCAGACTATATGAGTGTTGTGTCTTTTTCTATGTGATTGTTGATTGTTGTGTAAAGGTAGTTTCGTGTATCGTATTTCCAGTGGGCGGAGAGGATCCTCTCACTGAGTAATTCTTTACTCACCCCTTTTTTCCCCTTTTTCTCCACGTCAGGGTGAGAATTGTGAGTAGTCGCGCAAGTCCGTCTCGCTTGTGGTGTATTTTGGGAACCTCGAGTTTATTTTACTTTACCATTATTTTCTTATATTTCTAAACTCGTTTTTAGTTATGTTTCAGAAAAGGTTTTCAACTATTTATGATAGTATTTTAAAACATGTTTCTATTGAGTTTTTATTAAAGAAAGGATTTCCGGAAAAATATGACCTGATTAATTAAGGAAGTGAAATAGAGGGAAGATAAGTAAGGTGAACGCACGCCGTCTCAATGTTGAGAGAGACAGGTGAAATTCTGGATCGACCTATGTATGCACCCCCACCACTACCACCACTTGGAGTTGCTGCACCTCAGCCCCATCAACCACCACCACCAATACCTACCAAAATAATTTAGGCTAAATTAAAAGGAAATCAAAGGAAGAGATAACACTTCCGAAATAATATAAATACAATATAAACCACTTAACACTGTATTAATAACTAGATAGCCAAAGAATAAGCGGAAAATCTGAGAAAAGTCAAGGTTTCAGAGTTGAGTTGGATTAACCCATTTAACCTTTCAACCCATCAACTCATTTAACTCTAAACTCATTGAGTAATGAGTTGAGTTGAGTTGGATTAACCATTTTGACACCCCTAATGATAGGTATGATAATAATAGGTTAACGTCGTAATTTACTTGTCTTTCGAGATGAAATCTTTTCAGTTAAATTTTAAAAAAAAATTTATTTTTTTGTTTATTAAATTTATAAATATATATATATATATATATATATATATATATATATATATATATAGCCTCATAGGTGTTAATTAAATAAAATATGATCAACATAGGTGTTCACTAAATTAGAAAAAATATATAGATTTTTATAATAATATATCCTATAAATTTTGTAATACTTTTGTTTGTTTTATTTTACTAAGTTTGTTCTATAGATTTTTCATTTTATTTTAAATTTGGTATGATAAATAACCATACTAAATAAATTTGAAAAAAATGCAAGGTTTCACTTTGTTTTTATTTGACCATTAACTTCCACATCGTTGCCATATAGGAAGCAATATAATAGAAAAACAATAAAAAAAAAAAATTCACTATGTTAGTTGAAAAACAATTTTATTTTTATTATTTTTTAGAAATATAATAGAAGCCATTATAGAATAATCCACGCGTCGTGTGGACTAACACCTAGTTACCATAATAACAACAAAACAAACCATCATAGATTCTTTTCAAAATATTTTTCAGTGTTTTTTTCTTCTATTTCATAATGAATCCTTTTTTTTTGAACACCGATTAATCCAATTATATATAAATTTAAATACTAGAACATTAGAAATCAAAATTAAATAAATAAACAAACAAAGCACATGTTTAAAATTTCTTTTAGAAAACGGTTAAAAAGGCCAGGCCCAGCTTTATATTATTTATAGAAGAGTCCACATTTAGAGCGGAGACTTGGCCTATATTCGCGGATGCGTCAATTCAGGTTTTAAAACGTCGTCGTTGCATCTTCCTCCTCTAGATTCTTCTTTTTCTTTTCAATTTCACCAAAGTCCCGACACAATCGTCCTTGTTCTTCCCCTTTAACTCCGAACAAATCAGGCTTTGGTTTTGTGTTTCAACTTTAAGATACTTCTCTAGATTTCAATCGGAGGATCTTTTGTTCCGACAAAGTTTCAATTTTTCAATATCCTACGACGGCAAATAGGTTCGTTCTTCGTCGCTTTCATGGAATTTGATCCTTTTTCTTGAAGCTTGATTTTTTTTTCCTATCTATAGGCTCTGATTTTGCGTTTTCTGGTTTGGTTTTGGCTTTGGACGGTGAAAGTTTTGATTTTTAGCAGTTTTATTACAATGACTTGCATTATTTTTAGGTCTGGGTCTTTTGGCTGTCTTATTGTTGATTCTGTTTTGTATGATCAATATCTGGAAATGTGTGTGGTAAGGGTTTTGATTTGAGTACTAGAGATATTACTGTTTATTGTGAGATAATTCTTTTGTAAGATTTTTATAAGCTTTTGTGTTTTAAAATTTTAATACTTTAGGGTTCATGGAAGATCAACCCATTAAGCAGTGCTCTAGTAGCACCAATGCATCAGAGAAAACTCCAGAATCAACCCTTGAGCTTAACATCAAGACGTTAGATTCACGGACGTACACTTTCCAAGTGAACAAGAATGTAAGAAATCTTCTTCTTCTGCTTCACCTGCATATTTACTTATAACTGATACTATTTGGGGTTTGACATGTTTCAGGAAACTGTTTCGCTATTCAAGGAGAAGATAGCTAGTGAGACAGGGGTTCCGGTTGGTCAGCAGCGGCTCATTTTCCGAGGAAGGGTTTTGAAAGATGATCATCCTCTCTCGGAGTATCGTATCCTAGTGCTAGCTATTTTATTAACTTGTAGATTTTATGTTATAGTGTAGTTGTTTGTTGCATTATGCCATGTGCCCTGGGTATAAAATGCATGTTTTCCAAATCTGTCGAAAGTCTGGGATTTTGATTAAGGGCATCTCTGCTTTATAACATGTTCCGTGGCGATTTTGTATAGGCATGAGAATGGCTGCACCTGCATCTATATGGGTGAATTTGTATAGTTAAGGACAGTTCTACAATAGTGTGCTCTGGTTTATTCTGTGAATCTTACACCGTAGAGAAAGCTGTAATCCAGAAACAGAAATATATATACCCCTTTGCTAAGCTTAGCTTTAGTTTCTGTCTGTCGTTTCCTTCCATCGCTTGTTTACTTCAGTATAGTTGATAACTTGACATCGTCTTAGATTTGGAAAATGGGCACACTTTACACTTGATTGTGAGGCAGCCAGCAGAATCAGTTCCTTCATCTGGTACACCTTCAGAAGGGGCAACTGCAAATGATGGTAAATATGTTATTTTATATCCCCTTTGTGAATTTTAAAAGAGCTGTTAACACAACCATCATCTGGTTTCTAGAAACTTTATTATAACTGATTATCTGATTCAACAGGAAATAGTACAAATGGTGGACCATCTCGAAATGGAAGACATGTCTCCCACAGCGTAGTTCTTGGGTCTTTTAATGTTGGAGATCAGACAGAAGGCATTGTTCCAGATCTCAGCCGGGTAATCCTTAAGGAATATATTGTTTGTCCTAGGGATGGTTTGATTGGGCAGGCTAACCTTCTTTTAATTTTGTGTTGCTAAGGTCATTGGAGCAGTTCTAAATTCTTTTGGAGTTGGTGGACAGCATCCTACAAATAACAGTACTAATGGCACGCAATCCTCTATGCCTGTGAGTTTTTTTTCTCTTCACTGTCTACTTCGATTTTGTTTCTTATTAGTGCCGAGTCTACGATTTTGTTTTATCTGCTGGACTTTTTTTTACATTTAAGGATTGTTGAGAACCAGTTGCTGTTACCATTTGATGTGTGAGGTTTCATTAGATTAGTTGATATTGTCATGCACTATTGCCTGTTTTTAAACTTATTGTTGCCTGCGATTTTATTTCCCCTAGTCGAATCCGTCTTCTCATGCACCTCCTGGAAATACATCTGATGGAGCGCCTGGCATTGGTAGTCAAAGCCAAGCTACGGGTCATTCACAACCTAGGCAAGCATTTCCTGGTGTATCATTTCAAGCATCGATGCCTCGTGTAGTTCAGATTCCGGTTACAGCAGCTACGACGATTCCTATTCCTTCATTTCTAACGGTAGTTCTTAGTCACGTAGTATTTTGATCTTGAGACTAGAGCTTTAATGTTGTCATTTTACAATGTAACTCTCTAATTCTGCAGCCTATTCCGGATTCATTAGACACTCTAGTGGAGTTCATTAATCGGATGGAGCAGGCATTATCACAAATTGGTATGTGATCTAATTTTTATTGTCATATTGGATAGAGAACACATAAATAAGTTAATTGGTTGTTCCTCCAGGCTATCAGCCAGATACCTCTTCTGCTAGATCCGGAGGGCGACCAAGGGAAGAGTTGCCTAGAAATAGACGAGGTGCAGCAACACCTGAAGCACTCTCTGTTGTCTTAAGGAATGCACAACATTTATTGAGTGGTCTAGGTGTCTCTTCTTTATCGGTAAACTCCTTCTCGCTGCTTATAAATTGATTCCATTCTTTCTCTGTACAATAAATGCTATAAGTTCTGACTTTCCGTTTCGAGAAAATGCTAAGTATATGCTTACCATGCTTTGTCATCTAACTATGTACTCTTTGTAATTGGCAACAACATTGTTGTAGCATATTGCGGGACGTCTGGAGCAAGATGCGTCCTCTTCAGATCCTACTCTAAGGGCACAAATCCAGACAGAGGCCGTGCAAGTAGGTCTTGCCATGCAACATTTAGGGGCCCTCCTACTGGAGCTTGGGCGCACAATTTTGACATTGAGAATGGCACCGTCTCCGGTGCGTTTTGTGTCATTCCTTTCGTGCATGTTCCCCTTTTTCTTCACATGCGGCTCACAAACACTTTGATCTACAGGAATTATCCTATGTGAATGCTGGGCCTGCTGTTTATATATCGCCATCAGGACCGAATCCTATTATGGTTCAGGTAACCTTCTAGTCTCATCTATTTTTCGAAATTAATTTTCTACTTTTATGTAATTTTTTAACTGTATTTTGCAGCCTTTTCCTCACCAAATCAGCCCTCTCTTTACTGGTGCTGCTGCCTCATCAAATCCAGTCACCGGACCCGTTGGTTTAGGAACTGCCCAAAGGCACATTAACATTCACATACATGCTGGTGGGTGAAGTTCACTTTTTTGGCATTGGGCTTAGCTGCACAATATTTCTCCATCAAATTTCATTCTTAATTACCAGGCACATCAGGTTCACCTATGATGTCATCGGTTGGGAACCAGCGAAGTAATGGAGAGGGAGGGCAAGGAGACCGTGACAGCATTACGAGTTCAGTTGCTACGGCTGTTCCATCACACTCTACCGGTGAGAATATTTCTGCTGGGGTTCAACCTGGTTTGGATGGGGCTGCTTCAGTTGCCCAAATCAATGCAAGGATAAGAGAAATGGTAAACATTATGCAAGGAAGAAACCAGATTCCATCGGGTAGGTTGTCTGCTGACTAAAGTTTTACATTCTGAATGAAATGTTTTCAACTTCTTCTTCATGTATCAATTTGGAACAGAATCTCTCGAGCGGGATACGTCTACGGGCCATGATGTTGCCACTGCTATACCTGAGCAGCCTACCAACATTGCAGCTACTTGCACACCTGAGTCGTCAAGTGGCTCGCTGCATGACTTACCATCTGAGAGGAGCAATTTAGTAGTATGTCTTCTCTGCAATCAGATGGTTCTTTATTTTATATTCACTAGGTTTTGCCTATCACTAATTTTTGTTTTTTCAACCAGTGTCAAAGTGAAAAAGATCTTGGTGGAGATTTAGGGCATCCAGCCCATGCAAAAGATATCTCTTGTACTACAGGACAATCTTCAGCTCCATCTGGAGAATCCACAGGGAATGGGGAAAATGCTACCGGTGATGCCAAAGAAACCAAGAAGGCTACTCCAGAGGTAGCTACAGCTACACCACTTGGATTGGGGCTTGGAGGTTTAGACCGTAAGGTAATGAATGAGTTGGAAAATAATTGGCAAATTGCTGCTGCTTGTTTTTCATTTCATAGCATATCCAAAAGTCTGTGTTTCCAAATTCTTACAGTCATAATATGTTTTGTTTTATGGTTAAAGAAACGAAGCAAGCAGCCGAAGGTATCAGGTAAGAATGAAGATAGTGGGACTTTAGCTACACTTGAAGGTTTGCAACAGAGCAGTGGGACCAGTGGTCAGCAGCTTTTGCAATCTCTCTTTTCTGGTAGTTCTCGTTCAGATGAGACTGGTCTTAGACGCGGGCAAGGTTCAGATGATCGGGTAGATGTCTCAAGTGCAGTGTCTCAAGTCCTGGAGAGCCCTGTACTGGATGGATTGCTAGCAGGGGTATCTCGACAAGCTGGTGTTGATTCACCAAATATGTTGAGAAATATGCTCCAGCAGCTTACCCAGAGCCCACAGATCATGAACACAGTCCAACAAATTGCCCAACAGGTGGATGGGCAAGAGATAGAAAATATGATGTCAGGCGGATCTCAAGGCGACGGTGGCGGCTTTGATTTCTCTAGAATTGTCCAACAAATGATGCCTCTAGTCTCACGTGCTTTTAGCCAAGGAGGGCCATCGCCTAATCCCACAACACAACAGCCTGATGATCGTCAACCTTCTCAGGTACATCTACGAGTGTTTTCTGTTTTGGGTTTTCTTAGATTTTTTGAGCTTTGATTTTAAGAAAAAGAAAGGTTTGGTTTTTAGTCAACCATATATTTGCTTCAAAGGAAGTTAAGTTCCAGTTTCGTTAGTATTTTGTTGTCTTTTCGATTGTAGAAAAAGAAACACCATTCTTACCCTAGCAATATCTACTTTTTAAGATCGTTTGTTTTTTTAGTTTCATTTGGGTATCGTTTTGGTTTTTCCGGATTAAACACCCTAGGCACAAGAACCTTAAGAAAAGGCATTGTCTCTTAGTCTATAGCTTGTAATTAATGTCCTTATTTTTAATGCCCACATAGGTAAATGTTCAATCCATGGCTCAAATGATTGAGCACTCTGATCCACCAGAGGATGTCTTCCGTGCAATGGTCGAAAATGCTGCGATGAGCCAAGACGACCTAGTGAACGAGCTTTGCTGTGATGAAGTTCTTTCTCAAGTAAGCATCAAACAAACTAGTTTGCTTAATAACGATAAAGTTTCCCTTCTCATACTTGTATTTGCAGGAATATGCGGAGTTGCTAAGACGTGATATTGAAGACCGGCTAAAAGATGATCAAGGTCCATAAGCTATTTGGTAGAATTGGTTCCATAAGTGTCAGATCTTTAAAGTATCTTTGTTTATTTGTTGAGATCCCTCTCTTTTGTATTAAGAATTAGGGTTTGGGATGGTCTACTCTGCTAAACACATAAGTAACAGTAAATTATCTGGTCTTTAAAGGGCCGATTCAATTTGATATTTCCATCTTTAACCAGTTCAAATTACTCATAACTCTCGACATTGGCAAATTACTTGGAAAAAGGTGTTCTTTTATATATTAAATTATTAACTGACAATTTTGATTTTGATAGAAAATTTGGCCAAGGGGCTTCACTAACGAGTGATTTTAATACAAATGGTATATTTAGTTTATTATTATATTAGTAGTTGATATAATTTTAAAGATATTTCTGTAACACGAGACAAAGACATCATTCTTGCTAACATCATTCTTTACTTTATTAAAATTGAAACAGAGATTACATCTTGCTAACTTAGACATACACGAAACCAAAAAATGATTAAAGTTTAATAAGAAAATACATCGAACAAGTGAATAAGAAAATTTTCGTCAGTTGATATTTCTATCAATTAAAATTTAAAACTGATCTTACAACCTTACTACAATACAATGATATTACAATAAAATCTAACTAGGATTTAACCCGCGGTATCCCGCGGGCGTAGATTTTGTGCGGTTTTCTTATTAAGTAGTTGATTATGTTTTATATACATAATTTATAAAATTGGTTTTTAAATTAAATCCTTTATAACTAATAATTGGTATTTTTAATTGGTTGGTTGTTATTTAGTAATTAGAAGAATGTGATTTAATGTATTTAAATAGGTGTATTAATTATAAAATGGGTTTGTAATTTTAATATAAGTAAAGTTGTTATTAAAATGTGAAATAGTAAAAGTGGTGTAATTGTTTTTGTGATTATAAGTGTTCTTTTAATATATGGTTTTGAAGAGAATTTGTTTTTAGCATAACAAAGATTCTAACATTTATAATTATTTTTTAAAAAATTGAAGATAAAGTAAACAAATAAATTAAAATTCTATTTTAAAAAATTAAAGAAACATAAGTTGTGTATTAAAAAAAAAAAAAAAAAAAAAACAAAAACATATGAGAACGATGATTCTCGTTCTCCACCCAAAGTTAACATCCATTGACATGCTTAAGCTTTACCGATGATACCGAAGAAGCTGATTATCCGATCATAAGCTCACATCAATCGACATGTTCTCTGCGCCAATTCTTCTAAATTGTAAGCTTCATTCTAATTCAATTGAATTGTTTCAAGAAAATTTAGCATCTGTAATAATTTGAGACACTAATCGGTATCTCGATTCTGTGATCAATTACATTTTTCAGATTTCATATAGGATTCGGATAAGAACTTGAGATGATGAATTGGTTTCTGTTTGAAATCTGGGAGTGGACATCAATGCTTTCAGAAGCTGAATGAAATCATTTGCAGATCAAATTTCGCTAATCGACGACAAACAAAGCAATAATCATTTCTATAAGGTTAGTTTCGGATCTGTTGTTTCAGTTGTAGACACAAATTGAAGTTGTTGTTTGTCCCTATCGGAGTTATAATTGAACTAAGCTTTCTTGATTTTGTCGTAAATGCTAAAACATGACATATGTTGTCTAGAAATGAACTCTGGTTACTTACACTAATGTAGTTGAAGAGAGTCTGATTATGTTTGGATTAAAATGACTACGGAAAGGAACTTGCTGTTCTAAAAAACACTACAAAACATCTGTAAAGTTAAATAACAGAAGCAAAAAAACTAAAACTATCCTAATTCCTTAGGTTCTGAAAGATCTCTTTGAAGACGACATTCATTGTTTGACTCTGAGTTTTTCCTTCTTTATCCACAATAAGAACTTTCAAACCTTTTTTGGAAGTGACTCTTGATAAGGCAACATACAGATGGCCATGAGAAAATACTGGTCTAGGAAGATAAATCCCCAACCTCTTTAAGTGATTGTCCCTGGCTTTTGTTTATTGTCATTGCAAAAGCCACAGATATTGGAACTGTCTTCTCCTCATGCGAAAAGGGCAATTTGGTATCTGAAGGTGATATCTGAGATTTAGGGATTATCACTTTGTCTCCGATTCTATCTCACCAGCAGAAAGCTTCACAGGCAGTGAAAAACATTATATAATTTATAATTATATAATAAAGTATAAAAACACCAAATATGTATACTATTATGATAAAATATACAAAATAATTTCTATATAATTAATAATAATAAAATATATAAAATTACTACATAATTATCAAAATAATAATCCTATAATATTATGAGAAGAAATTGTTAAAAATGCCCCTTTTCAATACCCCTTTTCAAAAATGCCCCCTTTGAGAGTCCATTTTTTTTAAGTTTGCCCTCTTTTAATTTTTAATGACCATTTTACCCTTATTTGAAACAAAAATTAGGTCCACAAATACAAAATATTTTTTTGGCGGGAACAGTGATCCCGCAATTTTCCCGCCAAGACACTTGGTAATAACCTTTAAAATACCTTGTAAAATTTTCCCGTAAAACTTTTTCCCGCCAAAAAATTTTCCCGCCAAAAATTTTTTTTTGCGGGAAAAGTGATTCCTCAATTTTTTTGGCGAAATTTTTTTGGCGGAAAAATTTTTGGCGGGAAAAACTTACAAGGTATTTTAAAGGTTTTACCGAGTATTTACAAGTGTTTTGTAAGGTTTTACAATGTATTTTAAAAGGTTTTACAAGGTACTTATAAGGTTTTATAAGGTATTTATAACTTGTAAAACCTTATAACTTGTAAAACCTTATAAAATAGCTTGTAAAATCTTATAATATCTTATAAATACCTTTTTTTTTTTTTCGCCTGAATGATTCAATGTATTGATAACTTAGAAAGTTCAATATTACAGTGTAACCCAAAAAAGAGGGGATCCAAGACAATCACCTACACGGAAGAGAATACAAAAGGTACTACAATCAAGTAGTATACATCTCTTCACAAAAAAGGTCATGTAACCAAAAAGGGTAGCCGCAAGCTACGTATGATTGTCGTCGATCCTCTCTTGTCACACTCTGAGCGATGAGGAAAGCACCTTTGTTAGCACATCTTTCCTCACACAGAATTCTCCACATAGGAATGTGACTAAAAGCCAATAACACGGACTCGGTCTGAGACTTAAAAGAGGGCCAAGCTGATGGTCTCAAGACTGCCTCCATAAGGTACTTCTCCTCAACAGCCAAGATAAGTCTTCTAATCTTGAGACTACGCATACTCTCTATGGCCCAAAGCCAACATTCAAGAGCAGCCTCCTGTTTTGTCTCCATCTCAGTGAAAGAGCATCTACTATGAAGTAAAACATGTCCCAGCGAGTTCCTAAGCACCCAGGCAGCACCTCCAACCTTCTTATGCTTATCCCAGGAAGAAGCAATATTACATTTGAGCCAAGGATTATCAGGAGGCTTCCAGACTTTGAGAGTCCTTGCAGTTGCCAAACCAGATTTGCGATGATCAAGATTTTCAGCTTGTTGGGCTAGAAACCAGTTCTCAGAGTCATCCTTTATCTTAGCAATCATATCAAATTGATGGAAGACCTTACCTTCAAAACCAAGATTGTTCCTATTTTTCCAAAGAGCCCAAATGATCCAGGGAACTGTTCTCCTAGAATCAATAGGCAGCCTAGTATTCTTGGACATCGAGATAACATGGAAAACATTGTGGTAAAGGGAGTGATCAGCAAACCCATTTACTGTAAATACGTTGTAAAACCTTTTAAAATACATTGTAAAACATTATAAATACCCTGTAAAAAACCTTTAAAATACCTTGTAAATTTTTCCCGCCAAAAATTTAACGCCAAAAAAATTGCGGAATCACTTTTCCCGCAAAAAATTTTTGGCGGGAAAAAATTTTACGGAAAAATTTTACAAGGTATTTTAAAGTTTTTACAAGTGTTTTGGCGGGAAAAATTGCGGGATCACTTTTCCCGCCAAAAAATATTTTGTATTTTGTGGACCTAATTTTGTTATATTTCCTTATATATTTGTGATATCTTTTATTAAAAGAAGGGTAATTTAGTCATTTTGTACATAAAAAGGGGTATTTTTAAAAATGGACAGCCAAAGGGGGCATTTTTGAAAAGGGGTATTGAAAAAGGGGCATTTTTGTGAGTCTTCCTACTATTATTTGGGGAGTATAATTTACAATTAGCCTTAATTAACCTTTACCTTTGTAAGAATTTACTTAAGAATACCATTAGAGATAAAATTTCAAAGAGTAAATTAATTCATCTCATTAAGGATAAACAAGTCAATTTATACAATTTAATTTAATTATAAAAACGAAAAATACATTATTATTATTATTTTTAAATGACCAATCAAAATGGATATATAAGATTTGATATCTTACTTACCTTATTAATTTGTTATTAATCATTATATTTCACCTCTCATCTTTATATGATTCTATTATTGTGAAACAAATAAATCATCATATCATCCATATAATAATAAAAAATAGATTTTTCCGCATATGCCATGATTTGAATTTTTAAAAACGAATATAAATTATTCAATTTATGAAAAAAAAAATTTAACGAGTCAAAAATTTAGACTTGGATGATATATTTCTTTTAAACAAAAATAAATTCAACAAAAATTCTGCCTGAATAACTGGTCAGAATTTGAGTAATTATATTCAATTTCATATATTTTTAAAAAATATATAATTTTATATACTACGATAAAATTTTAAATATTTTAATTTGGAATATTTAAAAATAGTTTTACTTGATATTTAAAAACAAATATCATCAATACTTAATAAATAAAAAAAAATAAAAAATTATACATACACTAATTTGGTTTTCTTAAAACAAATATATTTAAAAAATATTTATAATAGACGGTGGGTTAAATATAATGTATTATATGATGGAATGAGTTATGATCCTTATAACTATTTGAATATTTATATTTAAGTTCATACAATTATTTTTTAAAAATTATTAATTTCATATTCTACAATAAAAAATAAAAATATATTTTAATTTGGAAAAATTTTAAAAAAGTTTAATATAATATTTTAAAGAATATCATAAATATTTAATAAATCAAAAGATATAAGTTATAAATACTCTAATTTCATTTTTCAAAGCATAAC